AGTCAAGTAGACCATGCTACACTATACGAAATACTCTCTTACAAAAGCCCTGCATTTAAACATGTGAATGTTACTTTAGTAAAAGTATGCTAGTATAATTAGGAAAGTGTTGTTAAAGTATTTAAAGTAGACACAAGTTATACTATTATATTATAACATTTGTTGTATTGTTATTACCGATGCAGTTGACTTAACTGTGTGTAGTCGGAGCTCATTTTGAACAATGAGCTAACTAATGATTGCTTTCATAATGGTTTAATGTGCTGATTATTTTCTACATTAATAGATGCAGGTCTGGTTTGTTCAAACTCTCAAAATAGTAGGACATGCTGTCATAATTACCCAGAGTCCGAAGTGACACCTTTACAATGTTAAAGCTGTTAGATAAATGTAGTGATGTAAAAACTAAAATATTCAAGATAGTGTAGTGGAAAAGAGATAATGTTTTTAATTTTTTTTTACTAAAACAAAATCTCTTGCTTTGGACTGACAGTAATGATTCAAGAAATAGTAGATAAATAAATACACACATCAATCTGTGTGCATTTGTTGTGGATGGAACACAACAAATGGTGCTCTTACCTGTGTTGCCTCCTCCAAACATTATAACCAGACTGTATCATTCAAACTATAAGTAACAGTTCTAGCTACTTGACTTTAGACAAACAATTAAAAAGACAAAATCAAACACAATTTATTGAAAGACCAATCTTTATTTTACGGTGCCTCTCCTTTTGTTTGTATTATTAAACCCTGTAAATCTAAAAAAAACTGAGCAACTCAACAGTTAACTTTATATTTCTTATTGTCCGAAGCATCTATTACACTATTTGTTCCCCTCTCATATTCACAGGATGGATCATTAGAGACTTTGGGGGAGACCTCAGCTTTCTGAACGTCCCGTCTGTTGCTTTGGCCAGAGAGGGCTGAGGGTCTTTCCCTGCGAGGAGGACCAGGCCTGATGGAGGAGGACCTTACCAGCTGCACCTACATAACTTAGCCCATGCTGGGCATAGCTGTTACCACCTGCACAGGCCTAGCCTGTCACTTTATTTGACAAAATGTGTTTACTTATCAATTAACAGATTAACATTTAGTGTAACTTAAGTATATTATTTCGTTTTTATTTAAAAAAAAATTATGATGGTTCATGCTTGATAACTTTTAGTTCACATTTCAATAAATTGTATTTGCACTCCTTTTGTCTGTTATTCTTACTGAAAATGTTAAATTACACATTCACATCTGACTGAAGATTGGCACCATTTATTTGGGTATACCCAGTCTCTGATAGTGTTACGTTATTATGAGAGTGCTCTGTTTGATTCTGAAATTGTATATATTTATATAAATATATACATAGGCTATATATATGTGTGTGTGTGTGTGTCCCCGCATCTGTAGCCTGTTATTGTCTCATTATACCGCACTGTGAATGAATTAAAAGTAAATATATAAGTGGTCATGAACACATCTGTCCATCAGACAGAGGGCTGCTGTGCCTCCTGTCATCATTAATGGACGTCTCTTTAAAATGACTGCTCAGAGGAGAGGAGTTCTCATTTCTCTAACCGCCTGCTGCTTCTCCTCCTCTCACCTCGGTTCCCCTCCTTGGCTCCTCCGCTCGCATCTCCTGTGGGCGGGACTAAGTCTCGAGGAGGGGATTCGAGGAGGGGAATTAGTGAAATGAGAAAGGGCCCAAGTGTCTCATTTACCTCATTCACAACAACAGTGTTTCAGGGCCGGTTCGGAGCTGGAGCTTGAAAAGCACCGGGTTTTCCTGTTCACACCGCAGCGGAGCAGCCTCTTAGCTCCGGAATCCGGTTCGTTTCAAGCACCAAACAATTGTCCGGCTAGAACAAAAGCACCGCATACGTCACGCTTACGTCGAGGCGGGGCAAAAGTTGCAGATCAACACCTGAACAACAACAAAAAGCCGGTGTTTTATCCAGTTTGTACACAACGATGGAAAAACTTAACAAGCAGTAGTGGTCCACTGAAGAGACCAGCTACCTACTGGGAATCTGGTCTTCCGAAGAGGTACAGAGGAAGCTGGAGCACAATCGGCCATTGTTGTTGTCTGTGTCAGCTGTGAGGGGTTTCCGCTTGGTTTGGCTTTATGAAGCAGGCACGCAAACGGTTACGTCATGACGCAAACGATGACGCAATGACGCAGCACCAGTCGGACTCTGGGCAGTGTGAAAAGAGCCGGAGCTAAACCGAAGAACCGGTTCTGAACCTGAAAAGCTCTAGCATGGAGCTTGAACTGGAGTTGCGTGTGAATGAGGTATTAGTGAATGTCCTGTACTGATCTTAAATCTCATAACATCAGCTTTTCCTTTCCCTCTTGGATGTTCTTCTCGACCCTCAGAGAAAGAGAAAATGGTGAAGCAGTCCTGTCTCTCAGGCATGTCCTTTCCTAACAGAAATATCAAAAAACATATTATTGCAGAGCAAGTGTGTTATTTAAGATAGGTGTGTTTGTTTGTTCAGGGGCTATAAATATAATGATTTTTTTATTTTAATGTGTTTTTTAAATCCAACAGTGTACTACAAAGATAAACAGATTATGAATAAACCGTTCTAAATTCATCAACATTGAAATAAATGTATTATTAAAATAATATTTAACTGTTATCAAAACTTAGTGCAACTGTAGAAGCTTGCTATGTTCGGTTGTCTCACTGAAATAATCACTTTTAACATGTTTTTTACAGTCAGTATGCAGAGACAAAGGGTCGCAGTTCTCATATGTTCAATAATATTTGCCTTAAATACATTGAAATGTGAAAGTTGAACAAAAAAGTTAGGTTGCTTGGTAAAATGTAAATGTAACCTTTTGCTAAGAAAGTACACTCAACATCACTGATGTGTAGGTGATCTAGTATTCAGTCATGTTTAATGGAATGTATATCAGTGTATTAGAGTCATTACTTTATGCATTCTTTGTAAAGTATGAAAAAGGTGTATGTACCTTGGAATCCGTGCTGAAGTTCTCTGCTGTTAGGAATCCAGATCTGTCTCTCCTCCTCTGGTCCAGCCTGTCTGCATCACCTTAAGGAGACTTTGAACAAACAGATGTAAAGTTACATGCGTGGGTTACAGACTTCTTTACATGCAAACAACGTTTTATCTTTTAAAAACAGGTCATAATCTTATTGTTATACTTAAGAAATTGCTGGATATCACAGTCCTTATACTGTATCAGTTTGAGTAGGTCCTTTTTATTTTGGATGAGTTTTTCATGAGTCAGTCAAATTAATTTTTTTTCATATGCCATATTCATATGTATCACACACGTAAGGGTAAGACACAAACCTATTGAACAAATGCAATGCAATGGATAAGCTTAATTTTCACTGAAGTCACAGATAACGTCATATCTAATATTTAAACAAATAATTTCCTTGTCACTAAAGCATTGACTACGCTATTCATCGTCCTTAAATGCAGGAATTAAGTTACATGTTCCGTTCTACAGTCACGATAAGGCTGTTTCTCAAGTGTGATGATAATACAATTAAAAGAGGCATTGGTAATAATATTAAAAACAACAATGTTTGGGTCGTTCGTCGGATAGGCGGTTAGCTGCAATAAATAACTCCAGTTCAACAAACCATATTACAATATCTAAGGGAGCTTTATTTCTGGATCATCTTGAAATGTGACGTTCATATTTTAAAGAGACACACATTTCATTGTGAGGTTGATTTAATATACACTAAGCCTCTCTTCAACAATACGTTGACGTTAGCTAGTCTATTGTATGCTATAGTAGAGCATAGCGAATTTAAACGAACCAATGCATACAGTAACCTAACTAGCAAACTAACTATCTAACGTACAAGGATGACCTTATTTTAGCAACCTCGCACAGAAGCCTTTTGGTATACAGTAGTATCCCACTTAATGTTTTACACTCTTGGATGCTACGCATAGCATCGTTAGCACAGATGGAGCTACGATTGCTCAAATGCTAAGCCAACTCTAAACATTCATTAACGTTAGCTTAATAAAAATACCAGTAACATAACATAAAGTACGCAGGGTTGACTTACCGAAGAAACTGCATTCATGGACGGTCTGTTTTAACCGCAGATAAATCCTATATTTGCATGACGAATAGTCCACCAGGAATCAACACAACGAACACGGCAGAGTTCAAGTAGTGTTCTCCTCATGAGCTGATCCCCTGTAGCATCACGGAGCCAATGGAGCTAACGGAGCTAGCAGTGAGACAGAGGAGCAAGCAGCAGCAGTCCCGTTGTCATGAAGGGGGAATCTAACTATACAGAATATGTTTTTGTAGATCCAGGCTAGAAACATGTTCATTTTCTGATGTTAAGTTGGACATTTTAACATAGGGTCTACGGGAATGGCTCCCATCTGCATCCATCGCCTACAGTTTGCAGCATTGGGCTTCACCGCACTGTCCCAGGGTTCGCCGCTTGGCTCTGATAGGCCAGAAGTCGGTTTGATTGCATTCGGGCTCGATTGCTTATCCTGTCTGAGTAGCCCGGATGATGCTGCATCGCAATTTTTTACGTCGAATTTTATACACCGAATTTTTTGACATTGAATTTTAAACACCGAAATATTTTTTTCACTTGAATTTTTGGGATCTGAATATTCAAATTTTTTTAACTTGAATTTTTACATTTTTATTTCACATAGGTAAATTCGGAGCAAAAAAAATTCAGATACATGATTTTCAAAGTAATTATTTTCAATGCTATAAATTCGGTAAATTTCAATTCTGATAAAATTCAAATACTTCTGTCTCGTTTGCTTCCATAGTATTCACATGTTCGTAGAGAGGATCAATGGATTTATTTGTATTGATAAATAGTTAATCTATACAAATCCACATTATAGGTATGTATACAGTCCTATATACAAGACTTTAAGCATGTGTGATAAAACTCATGAAATGACAACAATTGGTGTTTTAGATTGCAAAAAATACCTAAAAAACTGACAGATATAAAATGATTAATCACCTGCTAAAAAGGTCATCCCACTTTAGGGAGCCGATCTCCTGGTATTCCGATCTCTCCAGCAAGCAGTCACAGAGAATAGGGTCAACAGTCACGTAGCTGTTAAGATGGGAGAAAACATAAAACAAAAAAAACATTGGCTTGATGGCACTTGACAAGAAATGCTCTGCCTTGTAAAAGGGATAGTTCCAGTCTAATGGAGCGGGGTTGTGTGAGGTACTCATCTATATTATTTCAGTCGATGATGGTTGGAACCAACCTGGTTTTAAAAAGCAGGTAGGAGTACCTACAATGAAACTAACAACTGATGTGTACAGATTTAGCACCAACAACATTTAAGCCACCTAAAAGTTTTGTGTATACCATATTTACTTTATTTTTGCCTTGCCATCAGACAGCCTTTTCCAATGAGCAACTGAAGGCGTTATATCCGTTGATGCTCTTTAAAGCCACCAGACTCCATTGATACCATGCATAACAAGAGTTGCTGGTGTACCGCTGACTCAATCAGTTAGTTAGTTAGTTATTGGGTAATCCAAACAAACTTCTACAACACTTAACTCACACGATAACAACAAGTATACCAAACATAAAGCGGTGACCTCCTGTGTTCTGTGAAGAGTCTGGGGGCTTTACATTAACATAAATAACGGCTTCTGTTCCTGGTCAGAAATAGCAGAGTAAAGGCGAGGTAAAGATTATAAATATAAAAAATATATTATACATCTTTATTCCTTGTTTTAGGTAGTTAAAATATGTTTAGCTGTTCCCCCCTGCCTCAGTACATTGCTCTCCTTCCGTGCGGTAACTCCCGTCTGCCTCTCAAACAGAGGGGCATGCAAACCGCCGAATACTGAAGGTTGTACATTGACTACAGTTAGGTACCTCATAAAACTTCAAAACATCTAAATGATCCCTTTAAGCTATGCCAGTTGCATGGCAGCTTTTATTCAATTTTCTCCCATTCCTGATGATCAATTTGTTTCGGAAGATGCACAATTTCCACTCCCTAAAAGGGAAACATGAGATGTCTCTACTTCATCCAGTCACATTTTATGCATTTTAGTTCATTATGATAACATCACATGCTAAGCTTTATATTAGCTCAGTGGCCATAGATGCTGCCTTTTTAGCATTGCAAAAAGTATTAACTAGGAGAGCTGGTACGGTTTTTATGTTTCAAACTCAAACTACCCTTAAAGTCAGCTAACTAGCACAAAGTTTGGTTGTGAGATCAATTAACATATCCTTATGATTTATGAAGTCAAACATTAAATGGTACCAAATCATAGCTTTACGAGATGTTCTGAAATCTGTTCTTACTTACTTCTTATTATTTTCATCCACCAGTTCATTTTTCTTAACATACTCTGTGACAAGATGTTTCACTTCAGCAGGCTGCAGTATTGTTCCTTTCCTGTCAGGACATTAACACATAAGTACAAGAGTAAATGTGCACATGTAAGTAATGTAATATTGTTTTCAGCTTAGAGACTTAATAAAAACTGTTGTCATGCTTCTGCCTTTTATACCAATTCAAAACAATGACACAGTTAACCAAAACAGATCCTTTACTTTATTTTTGTCAACGTTTATTACTATAGGGAGAAGCAGCCTATACCACAGAAGTTAGAATGATACAAAGAGATAGCACGCCTGCTATTTACCACTAAAAAAACACTCTTCCCGTAATAAAACTTAAAACAAATGAATAAATTACAACTACTACTCCTCCGTTGTTTTGAAAATACAGATCATATGAATATGAAAATATGTTTAATTACAAACGTTTTAACAATTAGTGAATGAATTGTTGGATTCATTCAATATAGCTGCTTGAGCATGCTGGTTTAAGACACTAGCATAGAAAAGAGCCATTGTTAAGGTTACACGTGCGCTTATGTACTTTCTTTGCTCAATATTCAATCATGTTTCAGAGTTGCCAAAACACTACAGATATCAGTGAAGACGCGAAAGGATGATGATGATTCATGAGTGTCTTACAAGAGGATTTACTGATAAGGAGAACACAATTTAGTGTCTTTTGGGAGAAGTAAAGAGACGACAAGGGAGTCATTTCAATAATGGTCTAAGATTAAGTATCCTATGTCATGAGAAAACTGTCTTATCCTCTCACGGGGAGGTCAGCTACAGAACAAACCTCCTGGAGTGGCTAGGGATTCAGTGTTATATCCAAGTGAACATCAAATGGATGCAAGCTAGCTGATATACTAACTTCAGCTCTCCCTGCTGAGGCCCTGCTGCCCTAACCATGCAAACATGTTGATGCATAAAGTAACCGGGTTAGGAAAACAAACACACCTCTTCTGTACATCGAGAAACAGAGGCTCCAGTCGAGAGGACACAGAGTACATAGTTGTGATCTCAGGAGGATGGTACAGAGATGTTCCTTCCCCTTCATCCTGCACCGGAGCCACCTCCCCTTCTGTCTCTTCAGGAACATGGAAGGAACGCAGTCTATAAAGTGTTAAAAGTAAGAAAAAAAGAAAAGAAAAAAGGGCTAGTCAGTCTGAATGTAGGCGGGTTGCAAGTTTGAATCTTCACCAATCATTTCTATAAGTTAGGACAGGGTTTGGCTCACTGTCGATTTTTCCAGTCGACCTCTACAATGCTCTCCACACCCTTTGTCAGTTCTTTCATTCGCACAAGGTTATGCTGCTTCTGCATGGCCTGTAGAAACTTGGACAGCTGCAAGGAATAATCATTGAATAAATGCATACAGAGTTATAAATGAGTGTATTTTTATGTGTAAATTGTCACAGTCTAGACATTTAATATACCTTTTTGTAGCTGGATTTCTTGATATCAATTTGCTTTCCACTTGGGCTGAAATAATACAATATGTTCTCAGTACTGAATTTAAATCCTTCTCAACATGTCTTGAAACATTAATTGTACTTTACCAGCAGGCGAACATGTGGTTCCGGAGAAATGTACTGGTCAGCAAGGGGAGCTCTGACTTCTTCACCTTGCTCTTGAGAGCATGGAGAAAACACTGCAACAGCAGGGCATCCATTGTCTCTGTGAAATCAGGGCATGACCTGGGTCACATCCTCTTCTCTGTGAACAGGCTCCAATTTTGCCAATCAGATTTTTTCCACAGTTTTATCAACAAAACGCACCCATATGGGCTCTAAGTTAATTCAATGAGCAAGCTCTCATGCCTGCCCTGCAATCATTTAGTAGTGAATGTCTACATTTAATTTGATCAGGGATAAATGCTACCAGGACTGAGTTAAGTACTTCAATAACTTGACATAGTTGTTATTTTAAATACATTGTAACACATATGGTGGGCGTGTAACTAATTTGGTACCTTGTGGCATTTTCTGGTCATCCTGGTTACCATCCTCTTCCTCATTGTCCCCTTTCTCTTCCTCCTGCTCAGCCAGACTTAGTGCGTCAACACCAGAGCAGGCTTGATCTGTGACCGTTTCACCGGGACATTGCTCTTCCTCCACACATTTTTCCACCACCTCCTCTTCCTCCATTTCCATCTCATTAACCTCATATTCCTCTTCGTACTCCTCTTGTCCATCACACTCTGCATTTGGTAAAGAAGGAGGACCTGACTTATCTCCAAAAGCCCTAAAAGGGGGAAAAGAAACATGTGCAAAGTTTAGGGCTTCATAATGAATCAAAAGACTGTGATCATAATTGGAAAAAGCTGTATTGAGATGATTTACTTTAAAAGAGGTACTGAGCATTAAATCAAAAAGAAATAACTGGAAAATATGTATCAATAATACTGTGATATAAATAATAAAGGAACTGATGATAAATTGGAGAACATGCTCATCAGACTTCTTGCAGGGAGAACGAGATGAGAAGATTGATTTCACTCTTTGACATTAGAAGCAGTCAATCTAACTTTTCATCCAACGCCCTTTAAACCAGAACCTGCTCAAAAATATATTATTGCAATCTCCAGAAAGATGGATATTACTCACCAGAGATGATCCATGTACGTGTGCAGAACACACACTCCTCTTCCTTTCATGCCCAAACTGTGCATCTCTCCTGTGGAAACTGCAGCCGTGCCAACTGCAACAGGAGCTCTGAAATCAGCCAGGAGTGTCATACATAAATCTGTGATGAACGTGCAAGATATCTTTCCAAACATTTTATAATAACTTACCTATTGTTAACTAATGTAACAGAACAGTAGTCACCGTGTTTCACATCGGGGAGACCACTTGAAGGCACCACTACACCCGGCAGCATGAGATCTTTGGGGAACGACATTATTTGTTACTTGATATCAATCTAAATGTAAAGTATTACACATCTTTCCGGGTCTTGATCGTAAAAATGTATACCTGCCCCTCCAACCATCTTCTGCAGCACAGGAGGCCATGTCATGAATGTTGGCAGGAGAGCAGGGTAGCGCCAAAGAACATATACTGAAAACATAATATGACAACACACAGTTTAAATAAGTTACTAAAAATAATTTGTATGTAACTTAACAGCTAGCTTATTACCTGTAGGATAAAGGCGTTTCTCCAGTTCAAAGAAAAGTGGATTTTTGTGAAGAACATAAAGGGTCACAGCATCTCCCTTATGTGCATAAATCTTCACTACATTCAATTCCTCTTTGTTGGGAACCAGCTCAGACAGCTCATCAGCAGACAATGAAGGAAAGGCTGTAGACAGGTCAGCTTTCAGTTTTCTCCTAAAAAGTAAAGACAAAAGTCTCAGTCAATGGGTAACGTCATACAAGCAAAAACCACTGCTACAGATATATAATAGATAAATGCAGCATGTTGAATATCTTTTATTTTAAAAAAGTGTCTTGCAATATTTATATTTAACCGAACACGGCACACATTTAACAGGCAGAAATAATTGTTTGCATGCCATGTACTGTATGTGTATTTTCTTAAATTGCAACCCCAATATTGTCACAATATCATTTGAAGTATTGGTTAGAAAAAGTTTGATATTTGATTTTCAGCAATAGACTGATTAGTAATACAGTCTGGGGGGTTCTGACTGATAATGGCTTGGCAATGTTGGATTAGATTAATGCAGAGGTGTCCAAACTACGGCCGCGGGCCATTTTGAATCGGCCCTCAGCAAATTAAAAAAGTATAATGGAATATGGCCCACAGATGAAACTTGTGCTTGTCTTTTATTGTACTTCTTAAACATATATGTACAAATATATTATAGTATTCATGTGTTAATAAGACCACTTTTCAAATAAGTTCAGTCAATTAAAGTTGGAAACATGTTCTAACATATCTTAGTTGATAAGCAAAAAGGCCAATGACTTACAGTATTTAAATAACAAGCTTGAAATACATCCTTCCTATTTCTCCTTATTATAATAAATCTGAGGCTTCTGTTTTAAGGAATGAGCTGCCAACACTCACAAGCATAATTTCCCTACATGTGATTGATTTTGCCAACTTATAACTGAACTTATGAGGCGATATACCTCTAGTGAGTTGCCCAGCCCTTCGTATATTCTTCTGTATGTGGCCCTCAGTGAAAAAAGTGTGGACACCCCTGGTGTAATGCATGAACAAAAATACCAGTATACTATTTGTACACTCAGTATCTGGCATTCAATGGTAATTCACAACAGCTAAAATTAGCTCACTGAGAAAGTGATATACTCCTGGGGTCTTGATGCTTCCAGAGGGGAACATGTTACTTAACATTAAGAAACATTCTGATTCACGACAAGTGAGGTCTAATATCTGGGCAGGTCTCTGAAAGGCTTAAAGTTGAGCTTGAGTAATTATAAACAAACCACTAAATACATAAAATAGAAATAAACGGTATCATGTAATACATGGAGAGAAGCACAGAAATAGTTTTGAGTTGACAGCAGTTCTTACTCACCTGTCTGATCCTTTGATTGCTGTATTGGATTTAACACGGATTGGTCTGGCAAACATCTTCTCAGATAATAAACAACTTCTGTGACAAATGCAGGATGTTCGCCTCCAAAATAATATAAATGTTCATTACATCAGGGCACACATTCTCAAACGACGTCTAATTATTTGCGAAATAGCCTAATAATTATGTATTTTGGGCTTTACAGTACTCAGATATTCCTCGTTGGGTACGATGGTCCGACACATATTTATGTCCGACGTGAAACTACCGCGGCAGATCTAGGGAAACGTTAGTTCCGCAGTGCGAAATAAGCACATGGATGTATGATAATTAAATGATGATAATGTATTATTTTTAGACCCGTCAGTAATAACTTGAGAAGGGTGCATACGCTAGGAAAACTTTAAATTCACACTCGGAGTTGCCTACTTCAAATTGCTAATTCAATTGATCCAGCATTTAGGAACCAGCCAGCAAAGAGATAAATTAATGACAATGTGTATTGACCCCCATAACCCTGTTCATGTTTATGTTCATACTGTGTATGTTATAGCACGTTTGAAGGTCAGTGAGGCCTGCCTCTGTATTATCCACAAATATGTAAGTTTGATTTGTGACTTCACTGTTAACTAAGGCTTACAGATAATACTATGGAAGCAAACAAGAGACAGAAGTATTCGAATTGTATTAGACACCGAATTTATAGCATTGAAAATAATTACTTTGAAAATCATGAATCTGAATTTGTTTTGCTCCGAATTTATCTATGTGAAATAAAAATGTAAACATTCGAATGTTCAAATTCAGATCCCAAAAATTCGAGTGAAAAAAATTCGACGTCAAATATTTTGGTGTTTAAAATTCGATGTCAACAAATTCGGAGTGTAAAATTCGACGTCAAAAATTGCGATGCAGCCTCATCCGGGCTACTCAGACAGGATAAGCAATCGAGCCCGAATGCAATCAAACCGACTTCTGGCCTATCAGAGACAAGCGGCAAACCCCGGGACAGTGCGGTGAAGCCCAATGCTGCAAACTATAGGCGATGGATGCAGATGGGAGCAATTCCCGTAGACCCTTTGTTAAAATGTCCAACTTAACATAAGAAAATGAACATGTTTCTAGCCTGGATCTACAAAAACATATTCTGTATATAGTTAGATTCTCCCTTCATGACAACGGGACTGCTGCTCCTAGCTCCTCTGTCTCACGGTTAGCTCCGTGATGCTACAGCGGCTCAGCGCATGAGGAGAACACTACGTGAACTCGGCAGTGTTTGTTGTGTTGGTTCCTGGTGGAATATTCGTCCTGCAAATAAAGGATTTATCTGCGGTTGAAACAGACCGTCCATGAATGCAGTTTCTTCGGTAAGTCAACCCTGCGTACTTTATGTTATGTTACTGGTGTTTTATTAAGCTAACGTCAATGAATGTTTAGAGTTGGGTTAGCATTTGAGCAATCGTAGCTTCATCTGTGCTAACGATGCTATGCGTAGCATCCAAGAGTGTAAAACATTAAAGGGATAGTGGAAATGGAACCTCAAATAGTTTCGTTTTAACTTATATACAAGCATAATTACGTACCAAAACAATCACACCTGATTACAAATATATAATAATTGCCTTACGCATGTTAGAAGCACTTTATTACAGCTTCCCCGAAGTTTTTTAGAAACGAAATGTTCGACTCAGCCAAACCGGAAGTGACGAAATCTCAGGAAGACGATACGATAACAAACCATGGCGTCTATGCAGAATGAACGTGGAAGGGCAAATATACCAGACAAAGAAGAAGGATTGTACGAGGTATCCAGTGATGATAGCGAGTCAGAAACATCCTCCCGGCTTTCCTACGAAAATGTCGTTTTAGGAACTGAATCTGAATCCGGTTCAGTAAGCGACGATGGTGACAATATTGAGCCAGACGATGGACCATTACGTCCTTATTTGTTCGAGCCCGAGGTGATGGTTCACGGCATGGGCAATGGCGAGGATGACCAAGACCAGGCGCCAGATGATGCACCCCTACGCACAAATAATCTTGACTGGTAGGTCCCTAAGCATAGCTCACGCATCTTAAGATCACCTGTAGCCTTTACAAATATTAATCATTGTTAACCAGTTAAGCCCGAAGGTCCCCACAGTTTTTTTTCTCTCACATGTCTCAGGGCTTCTTAACATTTATGAAACTATTAATGTTTCATACCCTTTTAAAGGTAAGAAACTCCGCTAACTGACAATAAGAACAATTGTTAGCTAGAAAAAACACAAGAGTAATACCAAGCCTTTGAATTAGCATTGAGCGAAACAATGCTAATTAATGCTAACGCTTTTTTACACACAACACACGGTATAAATGCCCTTATTACTATCTTAACTGCACAAACAAGTTATACGATTTAAAGCTGAGACTCCACAGATTCCACACATGTAATGTCATCACTGTAAGACCTCGAATTCCTGGAGATATCAGCCAGAAAAGAGAAAGTAAACAACATCCGGTTCCAAAAATATTACAATAATTACGTCTTACCTTTTTTGATTTGTGATCAAAAGTTGTGTTCAACGGAATAAAAACGCATCTCAAGGTTAATCGAATGTCGTTGTGTCACGTAGAATTTTTTACTGATAATCAATCATCATATTTATGGCAATATACTCGGTATAAAGTATTGACACATCTATTCACCATAATAAAGGTCGGCTATTCACATGCAAATGCTATTGAATGTCCGCCATTGTTTGTGCCCGTCTTCCTATGCTCTCGTCATCACCCGAAGATTCCCGACGATTCCCGAAGTATTTCGTTTCATTGAGAGGGCGCAGTAATATTGAAAATAAAATGAAACTAGGCCCATGAAATTAAAAAAAATTGTTTATTATGCTTATTTTTAATAAAAATACATAAGTTAAACCCAAAATTCGGGGATTTCCACTATCCCTCTAAGTGGGATGCTACTGTATACCAAAAGGCTTCTGTGCGAGGTTGCTAAAATAAGGTCATCCTTGTACGTTAGATAGTTAGTTTGGTATTTAGGTTACTGTATGCATTGTTAAGGTTCATTTAAATTCGCTATGCTCTACTATAGCATAAAATAGACTAGCTAACTTCAACGTATTGTTGAAGAGAGGCTTAGTGTATATTAAATCAACCTCACAATGAAATGTGTGTATCTTTAAAATATGAACGTCACATTTCAAGATGGTCCAGAAATAACGCTCCCTTAGATATTGTAATATGGTTTGTTGAACTGGAGTTATTTATTGCAGCTAACCGCCTATCCGACGAACGACCCAAACATTGTTGTTTTTAATATTATTACCAATGCCTCTTTTAATTGTATTATCATCAAACTTGAGAAACAGCCTTATCGTGGCTGTAGAACGGAACATGCAACTTAATTCCTGCATTTAAGGACGATGAATAGCGTAGTCAATGCTTTAGTGACAAGGAAATTATTTGTTTAAATATTATATATGACGTTATCTGTGACTTCAGTGGAAATTAAGCTTATCCATTGCATTGCATTTGTTCAATAGGTTTGTGTCTTACCCTTACGTGTGTGATGCATATGAATATGGCATTTGAAAACAAATTAATTTGACTGACTCATGAAAACCTCATCCAAAGTAACAGTAAAATAAAAAGGACCTACACAATAATACTCAATCAAACTGATACAGTATAAGGACTGTGATATCCAGCAATTTCTGAAGTATAACAATAAGATTATGACCTGTTTTTAAAAGAAGATAAAAAGTAGTTTGCATGTAAAGAAGTCTGTAACCCACACATGTAACTTTACATCTGTTTGTTCAAAGTGTCCTTAAGGTGATCCAGACAGGCTGGACCAGAGGAGGAGAGACAGATCTGGAGTCCTAGCAGCAGAGAACTTCAGCACGGATTCCAAGGTACACCTTTTTCATGCTTTACAAAGAATGCATAAAGTAATGACTCTAATACACTGATATACATGCCATTAAACATGACTGAGTGAATACTAGATCACCTACACATCAGTGATGTTGAGTGGACTTTCTTAGCAAAAGGTTACATTTACATTTTACCAAGCAACATCACTTTTTTGTTCAACTTTCACATTTCAATGTATTTAAGGCAAATATTATTGAACATAGTGAGAGCTGCGACCCTTTGTCTTTCAGTGAGACAACCGGACAGAGCAAGCTTCTACAGTTGCACTAAGTTTTGATAACAGTTAAATATTATTTTAATAATACATTTATTTCAATGTTGATGAATTTAGAACGGTTTATTCATAACCTGATTATCTTTGTAGTACACTGTTGGATTTAAAAAAACACATTAAAATAAAAAAAATCATTATATTTATGAACAAACAAACACACCTCTTTCTTAAATAACACACTTGCTCTGCAATAATATGTTTTTTGATATTTCTGTTAGGAAAGGACATGCCTGAGAGACAGGACTGCTTCACCATGTTCTCTTTCTCTGAGGGTCCAGAAGAACATCCAAGAGGGAAAGGAGAAGCTGATGTTATGAGATTTAAGAGCAGTACATGACATTCACTAAGAGACACTTGTATTGTAACACAAAGATCTGCACACTGAATAGTTTTCTAGTCTAACAGGAACTTCATTTGTGTTGTTTTGTGTTTTACGTTGCACCTCAGAGACAGTGTGATTATTGTCAGGCCTATAAAGTTTGGCAAAAAAAAAAAGTCAGCTGATCAAATGCATTTGCCTCACTTTGAGCTTCACATCACTTGTGCCTTGTACCGCAGAGTTTGCAAAGTCATAAATAAATGGTGCCAATCTTCATTCAGATGTGAATGTGTAATCTAACATTTTCAGCAAGAATAACGGACAAAAGGAGTGCAAATACAATTTATTGAAATGTGAACTAAAAGTTATCAAGCATGAACCATCACCATTTTTTAAAAATAAAAACGAAATAATATACATAAGTTACACTAAATGTTAATCTGTTAATTGACAGGCCTGTGCAGGTGGTAACAGCTATGCCCAGCATGGGCTAAGTTCTGTAGGTGCAGCTGGTGCAGGTCCTCCTCCATCAGGTCTGGTCCTCCTCCCTCAGGCCTGCAGGGTCTTTCCCTGCGAGGAGGGAAATACCCTCAGCCCTCTCCGGCCAAAGCAACAGACAGGACGTTCATAAAGCTGAGGTCTCCCCCAAAGTCTCTAATCATCCATCCTGTGAATATGAGAGGGGAACAAATAGTGTAATAGATGCTTTGGACAATAAGAAATATAAAGTTAACTGTTGAGTTGC